CACCAGCTTGAGTGGATGATGATACATCCGCTCAGTGGGATGTTCCACAGTCATTCAAGTAACTGAGGACCCTTTCCCCAGAGGTCTGCCCTGAGGACACTCCCTGCCACCTCTCCCTGCTTTATTTATCCTAGCACTTCCCACCATTCTATGCTGTACTCATTCACTGGGTTTACTGTTTGTCTCCTCCTTCTAGAATGTCAGTTGCCTGAGGGCAGGGGTTAAATTTATTCCTTTCAATGTAGAATCCCCAGTCCCTGGAACAATTACTGATATATAATTGGTATTCAATAAGCATCGATTGAATTAAAGCAGGAATGAATGAATAATGAAGATTATAACGTAATCCGAGAAAAATGTTTATGAACTCCAACTTTTTATTTTATTTTTATTGAATGATAGTAAAGCAAAGTTTATTGAGCAATAGTACAAAGCTCCCAAAGAGGGAGGGAACCGGAGAGGGTTGCCCTGAACTCTAACTTTAAATGAAGACAGCAGATCATAAAATACGCACATCACGATCTAACCACATGTTCAGCAAATGCGTACTAAATCCACCGCATGCCCTTCATTGTGCTAGAACTGGAGATAGAACTTTGAGTAAGATCTTTTTTTTTTTTTTTAATTTTAAAGGGGCTCATGGTCTAGAGAGAAGACAGGATATTAAGACCATGGTGGAAGGCTGTGAGTTCAGTGCCCACACAAGAGTGCTGACGGAGCCATGAAGCTGGGACCCTGGTGACAACAGCTCTCAAGCATTGAGCCTCCAGTGTTGAGCCTTCCTGTGGCCAGGCACCCTGATAAGCTCTGCACATACCTCATCTCAGATCATCTCACACCATAGTGGCTTTAGAAACAGAGAAGCCAAGGCACAGTGAAGTTAAGGAGCTTATCAGTTTAGGGTCTCATAACCAATCAGGGCAGAGATGGACTCTTGGGCAGAGAAGCCAAGTTGGTCTGCGTCCAGAGCCTGTGTTCTTAGCACTGGGCCGAGTGCTTCCATCATTTGTACAGAGAGTGGAAACTCAAGCCCAGGATGAACAGAAATTTGATGGGTCAGAAAAGAAAATGCTAGAAGAAAACTTAATGTCGGGGCGCCTGGGTGGCTCAGTCGTTAAGCGTCTGCCTTCAGCTCAGGTCATGGTCCCAGGGTCCTGGGATCGAGCCCCGCATCAGGCTCCCTGCTCGGAGGGAAGCCTGCTTCTCCCTCTCCCACTCCCCCTGCTTGTGTTCCCTCTCTCGCTGTGTATCTCTCTGTCAAATAAATGAATATAATCTTTAAAAAAAGAAAAAGAAAACTTAACTTAAAAAAAATCTATCAGGGACAGTGCTGAGGAAGAGCATGGAGTGTGTGCATGAACTTTCCCATTCTTTTCAAATTCATACGATTGTGTATTTATTTTGTCATCATAAATACCTGCCTAATAAAATCTGGAACTTAAAGTTTTCACTAGAATGCTAATATAAAAAAATTGATTCTCACCAAATTCCCTGTTCTATTGTGAGAAAAACTTCATCTTGTGATATACTCAGCAAGATCTTTCTTCAGCTCACTGAACTTTTAGTATGCTCAAAAATGTATCCCCTTCTTTGCTGACTTAAGCATTGTTTTATTTTTGCCATGCCCTGAACGGTTCAAAGTCCATATTAAAACGCAAGGGTTTTGCAACCTTTGTTGATGCAAGCCTAGCAAGAATTCCCCAGCACTCCACCTCCTCATCAACAAATACTATCTTAGCTTCCGTACTATCTTAGTTTCCAAAGGCTGTTTATTTGAAACAATGGTAGGAGGAACACATGTGGACACTTACTTTTCATTCTTACATCCTCAGCTCATTTCTACTTCCTCCGTCTGCCTCCTACTTTTTAAAATTTAGTTGCACTCAGCTCAGATGTCACCATCTCTGTGAACCTCACCCCAAGTCAATCAGGAATAGAAATCTAACTGGAAAGAGCTTTGTGATTAAAAAAAAAAAGGAGGGGTATGCGGGTGGCTTTATTGGCTCCCATAACTGGAAGCCCAGGAGCCCAGGTTGGTTAAGCCAGGTTCTGAAATGATGTCATCTGAACTCTGTCTCTTTTGCATCTTTCAACTTAGTTTCTCTTCTTCAGAGTGGCAGAAAGCCACCCCGACAGACAGCCCCTGATCCACATTCTCCCAGCTCCATAACCCCAGTAGGGTCAGGGGAGGGGCACGAGATGAGTCCACATATAAATTCAGAACAGGATTCTGTTTGGTCCAGCTTGGGTCTTGTACCCAGGACTGTGGCAGGTGTGAGAAGATAAATGATTGACAATCTGACCAGGATCAAATGAAGTGAGACAGGGGAGCTCCCCCAAAATAAATCAGGATGCTGAGAAGGCAAAGAAACACAAATGATGGAATTTTTGATAAAGGATGTCCCCAGTTCTCCACCTGCCTGTATATCTCCACCTATCTGCAATGTCATTTTACAGCTCCTCCCATCAAGAGATAAAATCTATTTTCCCCTGAATCTGGGCCGGGCTTGTAATTTGGTTTGACCCGTAGGATGAGTGAAAGTGAAGGCATGTCAGTCCCAAGCGTTGGCCTTAAGAGGCCTTGAGTTTCCTTCCTTTATCTCTCTCTCCCTCCCTCTCTCCTTCCTCCACTCCCTTGTCGGTCCACTTGTCCCAGCTGAGGCCCCAGAGAGTGAGAGAGTCCTGCTAAGATCCACAAAGCCACCGATAGCCCACAGCTGACCAGACACATGGGTAAGCCTTGCTGAGCCCAGCTTCCATCAGCACAACAGCCAGTCAGCATAGACTGGGGAACAAAAATCAATGTTCCTTGTTGTATATACTCTTGAGGTTTTATGGTTCTGCTGTAACATTACTGCAGCAACAGATAACTGATACACTCTGCCTCTGCTCTCTGTCTCTTGCAACCCCATTCTGCAGGCAAGCTAGGCAGTCCCTCCTCCACGTCCTCATAGCCCTTAGTCAAACAGCCCACATTATACTTTTGCAATTTTTATATTGAATTGTAATCATTTCTTGTAATTATTTGTTTACATGTCTATATCCTTGCCAATAAGTTCTGTGAGGGAGGGATTTTTTTTTTTTTTTTAAATCTTTTTGAGCCAAACAGAAACTGGTCCTACATTCAGAGGAATTCTGAGGATAAGGAATGCCACCAAAAAACTATTTGTGAAGCCCATGCTGAGTGCCCAAATCACTGGCCAGTTTGAATATCTATACTTATGTATGGGGGCCATTTGTTTTTCCTGATTTTTGTATGTCTTTCCATTGGGTTATTTCTTCTTACTAGTTTGTAAAGGGTTTTTTGTAATATTTTCTGCATAGGTATTCTTTTTTTTTTTTTTTTTAAGATTTTATTTATTTATTTGACAGAGAGAGACACAGTGAGAGAGGGAACACAAGCAGGGGGAGTGGGAGAGGGAGAAGCAGGCTTTCCGCAGAGGAGAGAGCCTGATATGGGACTCGATCCCAGGACCCTGGGACCATGACCTGAGCCGAAGGCAGACGCTTAACGACTGAGCCACCCAGGCGCCCTTCTGCATAGGTATTCTTTACCACATCCATGCATTGAAAATATTCCCTCCCAGTCCGTGAACTTCTCACTTCTCTTATGCTATCGTTGGTGAGCTATTAAACTAAACTCAATTTTTGAGTTTTTCTAAGGCTTAACTTTTCAATCTTTCCTTTATATTTTGTACTTTTTGTATTTATTTGAGAATGTCTCCTTATCCCACGGTCATAAACATACCCTCCTACATTGTCTGCTAAAAACTTGGGAGTTTGTTTCTCATACCCGGGTCTTTAATCCATCTGGAGCTGAGTCGTATGCGATATAAGGTAGAGAGTCAATTGTCCCAGTATTATTTAGTGAATCTTTATCTTTGCCCCCTCTCTTGGGTTGCCAGGTCAGAGCACATCTCTATATGAGCAGGGTCCATGTCAGGTATCCCTATGTGGCTGCACTAAGCTATTTGTTGATCTCTGCACGAACACACTACCACCCTGTGTTTATAGGATGAGTCACTCCACCTTACTCTTTTTCTTCAAAATTGTTTTGGCTATTTCTGGTTCTTTATTTTTCCATATACACTTTATAGTCATCAAGTTGTACATACACACTCCTACACTAGATTTGTCAGAATTTTGTTTGGAATTGCATTGTATTTATAGGTTATTTGAGGTCTTCTCCATGAACACGATGTAATTCACCATATATTAGATTTCATCTGCCCCCAAGATATACCCAAGAACCCAATAATTCTCACCACCTCATCTGTTATCAACCGGATCCAAGCCAACCCGGTAGCCTCCCTCCTGGCGTCTTTCTGCCTCCGCATCACCTCCCCTATGGCCTGTTTTCCACACAGTAGCCAGAGCCGTTCTTTAAAAGACATAAGTCAGTTCGTGGCCTTTGTGTCGCCTAAAATTGCCATGTGGCACCACCGGTGCCAAACTCCACACTTTGGGAAACATGGCTTTATTTATTTATTTTTTTAAATATTTTTTATTCATTTGAGACAGAGAGAGAGAGCATGAGCAGCGGGAGAGGCAGAGGGAGAAGGAGATGCAGGCTCCCCACTGAGCCAGGAGCCCGATGTGGGGCTCGATCCCAGGACCCTGGGATCATGACCCGAGCCAAAGGTAGACGCTCAACCATCTGAGCCACCCAGGTGCCCCAGGAAACACGGCTTTAAATGAACAAATGAGTGAGTGAATGGGGGCTGCGGACTCTTTGCAAGACCCTGGCAATAAAGAAATGATCGAGGAAGGGGTGGTCCCCTCGGGGAAACCCAAATGGAGAGCAATGGCATTGGCCTGAGCGGAGAGGGCCTCGCAAGCGGCGAGGAAGAAGTTGGGAGTTCACCATGGTGACCGAGAGCGGGGAGGAGCCAGCCGCGAAAGCGCGGGCACGGGGGAGCGCGCGGGGCGCGGCGCGAGGCTGGGCGGAGAGCTCCGCGACTCCGGGGCGGGTCCGGGGCTCCACGCGGCCGCCTCGCTCCGCACGGGGACGCGCTCCGAGGGCGCGCACCGGGCGGCGGCGGCGCGCGGGGCCGCTCTGGCGGGAGAAGCGCTTCCGGTGGCGGCGCAGGCGGCGCGGAGCGGGTCCTGCGAGCGGCGCGGGCGGCGGGGAGCGGTGAGTCGCGGGCGGCGGGCCGGGCCGGGCTGGGTGGCGAGAGCGCGGAGAGGCGAGGGCCGGGGCGGGGGCGCGCGCTCGCGGGGCGGCGGCGCGGAGATCCCCCCCCCGGGCGGGATGTCAGGAGCCCCCGCGCCCTGCCGGGGATGCCGGGGCCGGGGTGGGGGTGGGGGGTCCGCGCATCTTGGGGACCCCTACCCTCCCGCTGCCTGGCAGCTTCCCCGCCTGCAGCAGGCTGACCTGCCCCTGAGGTCCCCCTGAGCCCGGGTGGTGGAGTGCTTCTCGCCCCGGATGGGAAGGGGCTCACCCATCCACGCCGGCACGCGCCCTGCCACGCTGTGCCCGGCGGCCGCGTGACGAAACTCCCCGCGGTGAGGACACCCAAAATGGCTGCCGCGGGGACAGGCCACCGCGCTACGGGCGCGAGTGATTGCCTGGCGACCGGGTGTTACCGACCCCCGTGCCCCCACATTCCTAGCTCTTGGCTTCTCCCCCTGGCGCAGAGCGGGGCTCCGGGGTCAGAGAGGAGACCACCTGGCCCCTGCCCTGGAACCCGCAATCTTGGAGGAAAGAGAGAGGTGAGAGAGTGGTCCTGGACCGACCTTGCATCTCCATCCTCTCTTGATCTTTCCCACATGTCACAGGTCTCTAACCTTCCCAGAATGACAACCAAGGCATCCACTAAGTGCATGCAGGTGACTTAGGTTCATTGACTTTTACATTCTTCCAGCCCTGTGAGGTTCTTGGTTATGCTTCCATAATCCCGATGCGAAAGCTGGTACTCAGAGAGGTTGAGTGACACGCGCAAGGTCACACAGTTGGCCGTCTGTAGAGCAAGGCCAAGTGTCAGCTTAAATGTTACTGGCTCAAAGACGCTTTTCCTTGACTGTGTTGTCTAAAATTGCCCCCTCATGCACGCATTCTTTGTTAGACTACCCCTGTGATTTTTCTTTCATACCATTTGTCATCAGTTGAAATTGTGTTTCCTTGCTCGTTTTTTCCTCATCTTGCGACCAGGGCCTATTTTTGTCTTGCTCACCTGTCCATCAATTGCCTGTACCAGGTAGACCCTCAGTGAATATTTGTTGAGTGCCTGAATGAAAAAGCCTACTTCTGAGTGACTTCAGAGCTCAGGCATTCAACCACTTCACGGACACCTGCCTTCTGAACCCCCACTGCATTTTTTTGTTTGTACTTTTCTCAAACTCATAATTACTTCTTCTACCTTGTCCTCTAGTTTTTGACTTGGGCACCTCTTGATTTTCTCTTCCATTGTCCATCCCCAGTTTCCAGGCATTGTAATAGGTGGGAAGTGGGTATGCAGGTAAATAAGGAGCCTTTGCAGCTCTTATGGTGCTGGACTCAGACTTGACATACAAGTTATATAAGATGAGAGCAGAACTCTTTGGGAGGATGAGTGGAAACTCTACCAAGAAGTTCTGGGACCTCAAGCAGGTCCTTTCTCCCTTTAGGACTGCAGGTGTCTAGCTTGCAAAAATGACAGTTTGGAAGGAAAGATCTATCTGTTCCTATCTCGCCTAGCCCTGTGTATAATTGCTCCAAGTATACATTCAAGTGTTAGATTGAGTGTGCAGGTTTTTAAGCCCATGGGCCTTCTGGAAAGGGACAGTATCTGTGGTTGTAGCTGTCAGAGAGGAACCTGTATAGGAAAGGCTGGCTATACTTCAGGGTCAGTCAGATATTTAGAATGCTCTTAATACTCTGTAGAATGTTTATGAAATCTCATGTGGATGGGTATAGAGAGGTGCCAACTGAGAGGAAGCATTCCCCCCCCCTTTACTTCCTGGGGAGAAAACTTAGAGGACATCCAGGGCAGCAGTGATCTTAAAAGCCTGTCCATCATCCAAACTTTTTGCTCTCCAGTACCTTAGAATAAAATATGGTATCTACATTCATCCTACTGTGCAAGCAGTGGTCAGATATATTTAGTTGGAATATAATCATGGGTGGAACTGACCTTTTGTGTGAGGTTAAAGGTGAGAAATCAGTAGCAATAAGTCATAAAAAAAAAAGGCTGACTTATCTAGAATGTGAAAAATTATTAAGTTAGAACACATATCAAACCTACACATAATTATACAAAGTTCAAAGTTACTAAGTTTTTAGTTAACTATTACTTTGTCAAATGTTTTCAGAGACATTATACGTAACCTGATTTGACTTATCTAGACTTATCTAGAATGTGAAAAATTAAGTTAGAACACATATCAAACCTACACATAATTATACAAAGTTCAAAGTTACTAAGTTTTTAGTTAACTATTACTTTGTCAAATGTTTTCAGAGACATTATACGTAACCTGATTTGACTTATCTAGACTTATCTAAAATGTGAAAAATTATTAAGTTAGAACACATATCAAACCTACACATAATTATACAAAGTTCAAAGTTACTAAGTTTTTAGTTAACTATTACTTTGTCAAATGACTTATCTAGAATGTGAAAAATTATTAAGTTAGAACACATATCAAACCTACACATAATTATACAAAGTTCAAAGTTACTAAGTTTTTAGTTAACTATTACTTTGTCAAATGCTTTCAGAGACATTATACATAACCTGATTTGACTCTTTAAAGTGGGTAGTAAAATAAATACTCAATAAATACTCAACTGAATTCATCCAAAATACTACAGTTTGGTAGTATTTTAACATTTTTATGGGCTGATGCCACCATCTCAAGTAAAAACCAATTAAAAAATAATGGATGAGAACTTCACCCATCCTAAGAAAGTGATTAAGAAACCCAAGCCCAAAGTTGATCTTAAGGACTGAAATACGGCCGATGTTTGCATTGTCACTGGGATGTTCTCAAGTTAAATCCAAGAGTGAGGTCTGCCTTGTGGGGTGGGAGATAGGGGGTGAGGAGGATGCCGGCAGGGAGACAGGCAGAAGGCAATAATTCTCCATGTCTTCTTGATTCTAGAAAAGACCCCTAGAATAGAGAAGAATATGCAACAGAAAGCCATTGATGAGTGGAAATTCACTTTGAAGGAGTCTAGGTCTTTGCCCAGGATTCAGCTTTCTGGTCTGTAATTTGATCTCCTGTGTGGCCATGCCCATGAGAAAGGAATAGGGTGTGTGGACAAGCAGCCCAAAGCTAAACAAATTAGTAAATGTGCTATTTAGGCTCCTCTAGTTAGGGTGATTGCCCTTGGCAGCCACATCATCCCTGGCCTCCCAAGGGTCAGAAGTGTGGCGGAAAGTCAGACAGAAGCAGCGCTTCCGGGCTCTGCCATCTTTCGGGTGATGCTTGATTTTTCTGAGCAGCTCTACAAATAAGGGACATTTTCTTGGAGGACTGAAATGAGGATTTAGCATCTCATAATGCCTGGAAAGCCTAGTGTCTGGCACATAATGGGCACTCAGTCATGTCCCCCAGACAGTGACGTTGGCGGGGTGTTTCACACCTGCTTGGCCCTAAGTAAACAAACAGGGCGACCTGGCTTTCTTACCTCTTTCAAACCTCTTTCAAAGTTGTTTTAATTACTAGCAAATTTCCAGTTTAATAATTTAATTTCCATTGTTAATTTTTATTCAGGGTTAAAGGTCTTTGTTAATAAGTCCGTGATGAAAAGCACATTCTCTGCTAACTTGTTACCTGCAAAATTTTGGAAGAAAAATTTTTTGCCAATTTAAGCATTTTCTTGGCATGTAGCTAAAAGTTGGAAAGAAAAGTGATTTTTGTTAGACATTTCTGATCATCTTCTTCAGGCAGCCAAGCTCCAGTCCATTTCTTCCCCAACCCCATCACCACCACCACCACCAGCAACTGCATTTATGGGCAGGACTTCAGCCAGTGAGGACAGGAGCTCCCACTCATGGGGAACTGGCTCGTTAGACATGTGCCCTACCTTTGTTTAGCATTTTACAATTAATAAAGGTTTAAAAGCTGTCTTGTACACCTCAGCTTACTAATCTTACCAACTCTGTGAGCCAACTCTTTCCTCTATCTTAGAGATAAAAATATTGAGGCTCAGAGATGTGAAGTGACTCACCTGGTGACATGCCTAGAAAGGAAGTGACAGAATCAGGAGTCCAGTCCACACTGCGTTTGGTCTAGTCCAGTTCTGATTCCAAAGGTTGTCAGGGTAGGTGCTCACAGGACCAGGCCACAGGGCAGGGAGCTAGCCTCAACAGGAACCTGCCAGAAAGAACAGGCCGAGCAACCAGCATTAACAGCCAGGGAGTCATCTAAATATCCGTACTGGCCCTGCATCATCCCGCAACTGGCAGGGGATTGGGTCATTACTTATTTATTATTTTTATGTTCTTTCCAGCATAATTCTCCCAAACTTACCTAATCATAGGATACCCCTGGTGTACTTCTTAAAAATCTAATTCCTAGGCCCCACCAGAGCTCTACTGAATCAGAATCTCCAGGAAAATACTTTCCTGGTCACAACTGCTTCTCCAGCAAGCCAGGTTCTGGAGCTGGACAACTTAGGTTCACATTCTGCCACCCCTGCTTACTTGATCAAGTTTCCTACCCACCCTTGGAAACTGAACTGTTGTGAGGGTTAGATGAGATAATCATACAAGAAAAGCTCTTAGAATATAAGGTTATTAAATTAGTGGTTATTATGAAGTAGTATCCTAATTTTGTTGATAACGATCCAGGAACTTGGAGCAGTGGGGTAATGTATACAAGGTCACAGCGTCATTGGTGGAGCTGGGATGTGAGCTCAGATCTGCTGTCTCCACAAACACAGTCGCCTGAGCAGTACACACCACTTCCTTCCTTCCCTCCATCCAGGGATCCCCAGATACAGAACAGTTGGGAAGGTACAGCTTGGAGCCAGGAATTCAAGCTCAGCTCACCAACTCTTTCAGTGAACTTATTTGGAAAGGAAACTGATCACCATTGCCTGATCAGTGCAGACTTCACCAGCCATGAGGCTTTTATGTGGTGGGAGGTGGTCCTGGGCCTAGGAACAAGGGGGTGGTCTTTACCCTTGCATAGCTGTGCACTGAC